GAGAATGTGTTAGTGTGATGTTCAACATTAAAGACGTTCAAACGCAATACCGGTGACATCCTTGACTCGACGTAACACTACAGGATACACTTCTCCTTTCACACTGAACACACACACAGAGACACACACACACACAGATACACACACACGTGGCCCAACGGTCTGGATAGTTAGTGAGTCAGAACTCAGCAGAACCAGTTTTGGTTTCAGCTGCAGTTCTTTACAGGTAAAAAAATAAATAATAGAAATGTCATTTCCTCAGAATCAAGGCTTTATTCTACAGATTTTCAAAACAGGTAAATAAAACAATGTGATAAAACATTATTCATCATTTTATTGGATTTTACAGAGATAAAAATCATTTGAAGTGACTCTGTTCATGTCTGGAACATCGTACAGATTTTATATGATCTTCAGGACTTTAATATTCACTGATTCTGAGCTCCAGGCTGAATTGTCAGGCTGGTCAGAAGTTTGCTGATTTCTTCAAACAGTTCAGGGTTTCTGTTTTTTCTGACGGTCTTCTCCAGCTCTGTAATGCTGCTCTGTCGATACTTGGATTCTACCTGGATCTCTGCTGCCCTCATGTGGTAAATGGTTGACTCGCGGCTCTCGTTCCTAATGAAGTATAAATGTTTGGCGTATAAGTTGTACAGCTTCTGTTTTCCCTCTGGATCCAGATCTTCTCTCAGCAGCTGCTCTTTGTAAATCTGATTAGCTTTCTCTTTGTCTACCTCTGTATATAACTGTGCTAGAGTTATTTGGCGTCTAAGAGTAGAGTAGTCATAAGCTGCAATCATTTCCTCCCACAGACTGATGGCTCGGTTGATCACGCTGCGGGAAGGTTTGGGTTCCCGGCGGTCCGGATTAAGGATCCTCTTCATGTGGCAGATAGCAGCACATCTTTTAAAATATCGTGAGTCAGGATGTTTCTCTAGGGCCTTTTCAGCTATTTCAACAGCTTCATCTTTAGAGATTTTGTTTCTATACAGACGCAGTAATGGCCTGATTCCATTGTAACTGCTTGGAGGTCTTTCCAGAACCCGTCCAGCCAACTCTCTTGCTTCATCCTGGACGTTTTCTCCGTTTGCAGCTTTGGCCTCCAGATAAAGAGCTGCAACATATAAGTTACCTGGATCTCGTTCTTTGGCTGATCTCAGTCTCTCAAAGACTTCGGGCTCTAAGATGCTCTGGCATTTTATGAGGAACTCTGCTGTCAGTATGGCGTAGCTGCTCTGCCACTCCACGATGTCTGGCTGCATCTGGATGGCTCTCTGGAAGAGCTCTGCAGCCTGCTGCTGCTTCTCTTTATCAAACATCATCAGGGTCCAGGCCTGTTCAGCTAAGACCTCTGGGTGGCGCTCTAACCCAGGTGGAGCTGGGTATTTCCTCATCAGACCGTCGACCTTTGACAGGTAGTCTTCACTCTTCTCATCTTCTCCCAGGAGATGGTGCAGCCAGGCCAGATTCCCAAAGTTCACCATCAACCAGGGACCTTCATCAGCGTTTTTCTGCCTCTGGAAGGTCTCAGCGGCCCGGTTGAAGAGGTTCAGGGCGTCTTTACTAGAGCCCAGTTTGTACTGGATGAAGCCCAGCAGGTTGTAGATGTGACCCAGCCAGACGTTTCCCTCATCTGAACCGATGTCCTGCAGGATGTTCAGTTCACAGGAAAGGTTGGGCCGCCTGAGCTGGAGCTCCCAGGTGAAGTGGCTCTGCAGGGCCTCCAGTTTGTCCTCCAGACTCTGAGCAGAACTGATGGGACATTAAACAGAAGTTAGCCAACAGCAGCAGAACAGCCACAGGGTGAGAGTAACACAGACAGGAAGCTGCAAAGACGTTAAAGTGTTTTAATGTTTCTGGATCCTCCAGGCCTTCATCAAACTCGATGCTTTTTAAGCAAATGATCCATAAACAAACGGATAAGTTTAGTTTCTGCCACACGGCTCTCCAGGATCATCGTCACCTGGACTAAAGGTCTGAATTAGATGAACAATCACACCTTGCTAGGTGTTTCTCTTCTGACTTCTCAAAAATCAGGCTTTACTTTATCAGAACCAGATATTTATTCTACTTTTCTTCCTCCAGAATAACTTCATTCTGTAGAATCTGAATTACAAACAGAAAATTAACAGAAAAAATTGTCTAAAATCAAACCTCAGGTTTATCCCTAATTGGAGAATTAGATGTCCCTTTAACTGGTTCTAAATATATGATCTTTATCAGCTAAACGGCTTTTAGTTCATAACTTCTTTGTTGATCTTATTATATTTGTAAGTGAAACATAAGTGAGATCTGGCTGAGCCTCACCTCATCCTGCTGCTGCTTCCTCTGGTTTTGCTCCCATGTATCAAACCTCTGGTGTCATGAAGCTCAGATCAGTGAAACAAAACCTTTATTGTTGAGCTCCACCAGGAAACGCTGAATTATTTTTAACTTCCCAGTTAAATAACACTTGATGCTGTTTGTGTTTCAGTTTCTCCTCCTTTAATGTTTAACAGTCTTGGTGTTAATCTCCAGTTGAAGTTTTAACTCCTTAATTTCTGAATTTATAAACGACTGTAAGAAAATTCTTAGTATTATTTGTATTTTTGCTGCTAAACAGATAATAAATTAGTTCATGATTATAAATTTGAACAATCCAGATATGTGGTATAAATTTTCATTTTTTCAGTTAAATGCTGCTTGTTTCCCTGCTGGAGCCACATGGAGCTGATCTGTAAAGGGTTAATCAATCGATCAATCAACTTTATTTGGATCAGATTTCAGCAGCTCAGCAGGTCAACAAGCTTTTCAATATGGAGACATAAAAACATCAGCAACGTATCAGATGCTGCAGTTACTTCCTGTTTGTTGTTTAGGAAGCGATCCAGTCTGGACTGGTTCCAGGTCTGGAATCAAATCAATCAATCAAATTGTATTTGTATAGCACATTTCAGCAGCAAGGCATTTCAAAGTGCTTTACATAATTAAAAT